AAGGGGCCCAAACAGCACCTCCATTTTGTTTTTAGGGGATCCCTGACAGGTCACCTATTTCTAGTTTTTGGCTACCCACGGTTTCGCTGGTGTAGTCAATTCGGGAGGGAAAGTCAAAGCACAGGGAAGGGAAAACTTTTGTGACTAAGTTTCAGTCACGGATTTGTAATTTTAGGGATTTTTCACACTTGACCGTCTGCGGAACCCTTGTAGGGAATTGTGTGAACCCCATATTCGTTCTGAAAAACCCTTGTAGGGAATTGTGTAACCCCTGAATCCAATTCAGCCGCGCATTGCACTACGTGTTATTCAACAATGCAGCAGCAGTTATAAAAAAAAAGGAGAAAAATTGTAAGTGTCTTAACTTTCAAACCTTACACACATACACTTAATTCCCATTTGCATAAAAATACCTCTGGGGTCAACTTATAAGCTTGATCCCCAGTTATAAAACTTGTTGTTTTAAACAATACCAAATAAAAAAGCCCTTCAGCAGAGACACCGGTACAAGCCCAATTTTAAATAGTTCATTCTATAGTTGTATTACGTGTCACCATGGCTAGAGTGCATGTAAACTCTGCTACTTTTGGGGAATTGTTATCAATTCCGGGGGTTGGGGCAAAAATAGCAGCAAAGATTTGGGAATTAAGGGAGGATAAGGGTATCCTAGAGTTGGAGCATGGTCCCAGCAAATTCGGTTTAAAGAGTGATAGGGGTGTTGGCCGAACCCATGGGTCGGGAATATATCATCGAGGCAAAGGCCGAGGGCAATCTGCTGATACCCAGGACTTTACATGAGGTGGGTAAAGACCCAGTGTTGTGTGTGATCAACCTCTCAGATAGCCCACTCGCAATAACAAAAGGGGACTTACTGGCCCAGGCTCAGGAAGTTGAGGTGGGGGAGCACCAGAGTCCGATGGTATGCAAGATGGAGATGGCTGAACATTCCGAGAAAAAGGAGTTGCCTCAACACTTGCAAGAGATGTTTAAGAGGTCTTGTGCCGATTTATCAGAGGGGAGGAGGAGACCCTGTGTTCCCTGTTAAAGGATTTTCAGGATGTCTTTGCCTGTAGCGATCTCGACCTAGGCCATTTCACTGCCCTGGAGCATAGCATTGACACGGGGGATCACCCGCCTATTAAACAGTGAATGCTGCGCACACCCTTAGGGTTCGCCCAGGAAGAAGAGGCTCAGTTGGAAAAAATGTTACAGTCGGGGGTAATCCAACCATCCGTATCGGAATGGGCCTCGACCCCAGTTCTCATACGTAAGAGGGATGGCAGCGTGAGGTGGTGTGTGGACTATAGAAAGGTCAACGGGGCCTGTTCCCGCCAAATTTTCCCCTTGCCCTTAGTAGAAGAGTGCCTAGACACCCTTGCCGGTAATGTGTGGTACTCAAAGCTGGACGCCAATTCGGCGTACTGGCAGGTGAAGATCAGGGAGGAGGACCGGCCCAAAACCGCCTTTAGCACCAAGTACGGGTTGTTCGAGTTTGCACGCATGGCCTTTGGGCTATGCAATGCCCCAGCCACTTATGCCCGGGTTATTAGCCTTGTACTACGAGGGTTGACATGGAGGGTGGTGTTGGCTTTTTTGGACGATATACTGGTCCTGGGGAGGAATTTTGGGGACCATCTGGCCAATTTAAGAGTGGTATTTGAACGGTTCCGAACGTACGGGCTCAAACCCCGAAAGTGCGACCTGTTTAGGAAGAAAGTGGAATTTCTGGGGAGGATTGTGGGCCCAGAGGGGATGGAAATAGGCCCAGGATACGTAAAAGATAGCAACATGCACCTGGATAGATCCCTAATCAAGTTGGGAATGCCTCCTCGGACACCCTTGGGGGATTTCTTACGGCTAAGGTTGACCCCTGCTCCTGTGGATCCAATCAAGCTGGCAGGAGGGGTGGCAGTCTTCTGCGATCCCAAGACTTGGACCCGTGTGCCGCTCTGGCTGGAACCGGGATGGGTGGGGGCAGTGGGGATCCACCCCAAGAGTGCCGGGATGTTTTAAGATGCCACTCAGCACCGGTTTCACCACCTGGTAACTCACCCCAGTGTGTCCGCCCTTGGAGAGGTGGGGGTGGATTTCACGGTTGAGGAAAGATTACAGGCCCGCCAGATCTCGACCTTGAGGTGGGCGCTCCAGTCGTGTCGCTTTAACCAGCCTGTGGTTTTGCACATAAGAGGCGACCGACTGGACCGGGTTCACGGCCGGGCTCATCGTGAGGTCTTGAAGGTTATGACGGGCCTGGCAATCAATCCGGTGCAACTAATCCATCGTTGCTTCCAGGGGGGGATAGACCAGGTAAGGGAGTGGCAGAGCTCCTTCTGCAATGCATATTTTGGTTTTGGAATGGGCGTCCATTCCTTCAACACCGAGCAGAAGGACGCCATGAGGATGGTACCACCGCATCGAATCCTCCTGGAGAGTGACGCACCTTACTTTCCCCCGCCTAACGCACGACATGGCCACCCTCATCACTTGTTTGAGGTGGCTAAGGCAGTGGGGAAGGTGAGGGCAGAATCTCCACGGGAGATACTGCGGTTGGCACGCCTCAATGGTGGCCGTCTGTACGGAGTGACCACATAGGCTGGCCTCTGTCCCCCTGTGTATATAGTTAGAACAAGAAGAGCCCGTTGGCTACCGTTAATGAATTTAGAGCCCGTTGGCTACAGTTAATGAATTATTAGCCCGTTGGCTATCTGTAATGAATTTAAAATTGAATTTAAATTGAGTTTGTATATAGTCTGCTCCAGGGGAAAATTACTAGGGGGTTCCATGGTCCTAGTGTTATCGGGGGGTTTCCGTTTGTAGTAATTTAAGGGTCCCCATGTTTATTGTACCCCACCCCCAACCCTTTTTTATCCACACCAGTGTGATCGCCACCGGAATTGACCCCTTCCCCCCTTTCCCCTCTTTTGATTCACTCCTTTTTTTAAAAGTCAGAGGGAGTGTAGTACCTCGGGGTAGGGTCGGTGGTACTCCACTGGAGGAGGAGACGGATCCGGAAGACAGAGAGCCTCGTTCCGGATCTGTCAATCAAAAACTGGGAGCCAAAGCATATATATATACACGCTGACAAGTCCAGCTGATTCGAATCTGTGAGATATTACAGAAGTACAGGTTATCGTCACGGTAAGTTGTTAAAAAGCTTACAATACCAATGTACATATTTTTTAATCACTTGGTGTCTTTGTTTCATGTAAATATCACCAAGGTTTCTACAAATTTAAAGATAAATTTTTGTTCATATATAATTTAAATCATATAATCCGCGCATGCAACAGTTCGTAATCTTCAATATAAATGAAGCTGTAACTGTATACCAGAAGAAGAAGAAGTCTTTCAAATTTCCAATTACAACCTTGCGGAAATGTTACAACTACTCTAAAAGAAACACGAATCCGGATACGGTCTGATATTCCGGGAAGTTCTCGTTTTTACATGTTTCGGTTCCAATTAAAATTAATGTTTACATTGTTTATAATAATGTACAGACGAGAAGCAAAATACTTTTCTTTAAATACAAAATATTAATTGGCACAAAGTCATTAATTATAACAATGAATGGTTCCATTTAAAAGTCAGTCCTGTACAGTAGTATTGCATACATATAATAAATATTTAAACAGACATATATTTAAAATGAAAAGTTTATAGGATATTTAGAAAAATGTGAGTGGAAATAATTAGACCATATTACAATAATCACATGGGATGTTTTCAATCTGAATTAGGATAAGAAAAAATTGACAAGAAAAAATATCACGGCCTTTTCACTGGTTTCAACAACCAGTGAAAAGGCCGTGATATTTTTTATTAAGCATGAAAGGACAAATTATCACGGCCTTTTCACGGGATATTGAAATTTCACAGTCTTTTTCTAACATCAAATATTTTTCACGGCCTTTAGAAATATTTTTTTTACAAAAGTCACGGGGTATTTTCACGGGGTTTTCACGGCCCAGTGATATTTCACAGACATTTCACGGCCTTTTCATGGGCTGTTGTTTTTGTAGCAAAAATTGGATTAAGGGTTCCGAAAAAATATCAATAGCTATTATCAATGCAAATGCACTTTCACCAAAACCCGCCTCCCCTGAGGCACACATTTTTGGAATGTTTGGTTTTCAATGCTCTTTAACTTGTCCATTTAACAGTTCTATTTTAGTACCACTGGTCATTCTGATGAAGCCAAATGCGCACCTGCCGTACTAAATATAAGCCTGTCATCTTTGATGAGTTTCTACAATACTTGATATTGTCCTCGAATGTGACATCATCAATTTTATTCTTACATTAGCAACTCAACGAGTGCCAATTTGGAGCAGGATATGTTTACTCTTCCGGACCTGCCTCGGGTTTGGTGGGGTTTGTGTTGCTCAGTCTTTAGATTTTTTATAGTGTTTTGTAGAGTGTTGTTTGTCTTTCGTCGTTTTTCGGCATGTTATTGTCAGTTTCTCTTCGACTTATGAGAAGTGTATTTCCCTTAGGTATCTTCAACCTCTTTTTATATAACTTGTCTAACTAGTTACCAATGAGAACTGGAATATCTGGGTTTTACCAATTAACTGAATTAATTTGACTGATCAATGACATCGGAAGGATGAGTGTCAAATAAGTATGACGTGTTATGACAAATCTGCTGGCGGAGAGTCCTAGTCTAAATTTGACAGAACAACTGTTTCAAAAAGGATGTGCGAAGGAACAGGTAATTACTACATACACAATACCAGTGATCATTTTTATAAATTATCTACTTACAATCAGCTAATAATTCAGCTATTGTATTATATGATAAGTGTCAGTAAGATTAAATATGTTAAGTAGAAATAGGACTTTTGACAAATCTCTTAAATTTAAACATGTTTGCCATCTGTTAGTCTTGTTTATTATGAATAAACGTTTTGTATGTATTTTGCGTATATAATTTCACTACATAGTCATTTTAAGGCAAAGAAATAACTAAAATGTCTATTCCGATAAATCTTTATTTCAAACAAGAAATTTATAACATATTAAATACACAGTAAATGAGTTATCATTTTACTTTATCAATCCTGACTTTAACCAGATTAAATATTTTCTAAAATTATATTTGAACCTATCCTGTACTCCAGAACAAATTGTACAGCACTGTGATTATTAGTAGTATTTGTTGTGGGAATCTGGTTAGTTGTATTTTGGTGCATACGATCTTGGAGGGTAATATGTAGGCGGATATGCTTTCTTAGATGGTGCATAAGATTTTGATGCTTTCAAATTTGTTAGTTCGCTAGCGTGGTTTAATACCGCCGTCTTTGTTTTAACATGGTGGAAATTTACATATTTTCCCTTTGGGTTATATTTAGTTGGATACGAGTCATCATGGTCATATGAAGATGGATATGCATTCTTAGATGGTTCATAAGATTTTGATGCTTTCAAATGTGTTAGTTCGCTGGCATGATTCAATACCGCCGTCTTTGTTTTAATATGGTGCAATTTTAAATATTTGACCTTAGGGTTATATTTAGTTCGATACGAGTCCTTGGGGTCATATGAAGGTTCATATGCATTCTTAGATGGTGCATAAGATTTCAATGCTTTCAAATTTGTAAGTTCGCTAGCATGATTCAATACAGCCGTTTTTGTTTTCATATGGTGCAAGATTACATATTTGCCCTTAGGGTTATATTTAGTTCGATACGAGTCCTTGGGGTCATATGAAGGTTCATATGCATTCTTTGATGGTGCATAAGATTTCAAATTTGTTACTTCGCTTGCATGATTTAATACCGCTGTCTTTGTTTTAACATGGTGTAATTTTACGTATTTGCTCGTAGGATTATATGTAGGTGAATACGAGTCCTTGGCATTCTTGGATGGTGCATACGATTTTGAAGCGTGTAAATTTGTTAGCTCGCTTGCATGTTTCAATACCGCTGTCTTTGTTTTGATATGGTTCAATTTAACATATTTGCCCTTAGGGTTATATTTAGTTGGATACGAGTCATCATGATCATATGTAGGTGGTGCATAGGATTTTGATGTGTGCAATTTGGTTTGTTTGCTCGAATGTTTCAAAATTGCCGTTGAAGTTTTAGCATGATGGAGTTTTACAATCTTTTTTTTAGGTTGGTACTGCATCTTAGGTTTGTATGAAGGCGCATATTTCATTTTCGGTTGGTACTGTGGATAATACTTTGGTGTGGATGCGTACTTAGGCGTGTATTTCATTTTAGGTTGGTACTTTGGATAATACTTTGGTTCAGGTGCGTACTTAGATGGGTATTTCGTCTTAGGTTGGTACTTTGGATAATACGCTGATTTTGGTGCGTACTTAGACGGGTATTTCGTCGTCTTAGGTTGGTACTTTGGATAATACGCTTGTTTTGGTGCGTACTTAGACGGGTATTTCGTCTTAGGTTGGTACTTTGGATAATACGCTTGTTTTGGTGCGTACTTAGACGGGTATTTCGTCTTATGTTGGTACTTTGGATAATACGCTTGTTTTGGTGCGTACTTAGACGGGTATTTCGTCTTAGGTTGGTACTTTGGATAATACGCTTGTTTTGGTGCGTACTTAGACGGGTATTTCGTCTCAGGTTGGTACTTTGGATAATACGATGGTTTTGGTGCGTATTTTGACGGGTATTTCGTCTTAGATTGGTACTTTGGATAATACTTTGGCAGAGATGGATATTTAGATCCTGAAATTAAATAGTAAAAAATAAGTCTTTTACTTTTAAAACATGCATAGGTTGAAAACAACTACAGAAATTTCACTCAGCCGTTTAATAAAATAAAATATGTCTAGAGTCGTTATGGGTAATAGATGTTTTAGTTGTAAATCATGAGGTTTTTCAGCTTTTCCCCTTCTTTTTTAAAAAGTTATACTTTTTGAAAAATATATAAATAAAATGCTTGTTTCTTGATTTTAGATTTATTTCATTTGTTGATATCAAATATATAAATCAGATTATTGTGAATTTTCTGAATCTTAGTTATTGGCACATACAAAACTTATAATTTGGGGATAGCTGTTCAATTTAAGATAGAAAAAAAAATATGCGATGAAGTGGCTAATGGTTAATTAATTATTCTACTTGACAGTTACTGCGCATTTAACATGATATTTTTAAAAATTTTTTCTTTTCTTTTAAAATAGTTTTTTTTCAATCCAAGGCTCAAATATGAAATCATTGTGTTACACAGAAAAAATCGACTATAAGTTTTTTTTTATCATAAGGTCCGAATGTTTAATATGTATTGTTTGTTCCTGATTGTTTAAAAAAACAATATAGAGAATAAAAAGCCGTATTTCAAAAACAAAAGGCACAAATTATGCAACAACGCAGATACTCTTAAAAGACATATATAGATTGATATGCAAGTAGTTTGCAATCTCTGTGTGAACGAAAAAATACAAATAAAGAATATTTCAAGGTACATTGAAAAGCAGTTGCATAGGTACAGTATACCTTACTACTATACTTTTAATTTATATTATCTAACAATACACTTTATGAATAAAAGCTATTTTTCGCCACAAATAATACATTTATTCTTTATTAAAGATAACCATGCAATATATGAAGTGATTGTTATTTCTTACCATATTTTCCTTGGTTGTAGTAGTTTCCTGTATTGTATTTTCCTGGGTTAAATTTTCCTGCGTTGTAGGCTGTGGCACTTGCATCTGTAATGATACACCATTTAGTTAGATCAAATGTTTTACTGGACATTAGGAAGATTTTTGTTTAAGAAAACCACAATATATCTATCTAGATATTATTTGATTTATTTAACAGAATTACTCTTTTCGATTTCATATTTGCTAAACAAATTGTTTGCTTTTTCATTAAGATATATGATTACAATTTATGTATCGGTAATTAAATAAAAAAAAATGTGGTTCTTTCGAAAAAGCCGACATAACTGCAGCGACCATCAATGAAAAATAAAGATAATGTACCTGGAAATGCCTTTTCCAGATGTCCTTTAAGTAACAGCAATAACATTATCAGTTTTAATGCAACAGATTCGCATTTTGACAATGACAATTAAAGTCTCTTCAGTGATGATCGAGTTCAAAATATTTTAAAGTAAAAAATATTGATACAAACATTGAAGACCGAATAAAACAAAAAATGACCAAAAGTAATGCAAAACCCGGACAAGGATCACAATTATTTCGAAATTTTATAAGAAGACATTATGCCAGATGTTTTTTTAACTATTCATATTGTTATGTTGCTGTCTCAATGATAACAATACTATAATATATATCCTCAACCATATTAGATAGAAGATTACAAATATTACCAATCTTTACATGATGGTTGATAGATAAAAAAAAATATATATATATTTATGTAATTATCAAGAATAGACCTTAGTGCTATTTGTAAACCTGCGACACTTTAACCGAGATATTGCGACTCATAACTGTTGCCATCACAAAACAATTATTTTTCGTTTCTATATATGTTACCGTTTGTTTTTGTTGCAGTTCAGGTTCTTTGTTGTTCCGTTGTTTCCCTCTTATAGTTGATGGGTTTCCCTCGGTTTTAGTTTGTAACCCGGATTTGTTTTATCTCAATCGATTTATGACTTTTGAACAGCTGTATACTACTGTTGCTTTATTTAATGTTAGACATTTTTTTTAATTGTCACATCAATATTATATAGGAACATTTTAATGTCCAATAATGTCGGACAAATACCCAAAAGATGTAAAAAGAACTACTTGGTACAGAGAATTTGACTTGGGAAGTATACAAGTTTACCTGTTTTTGCATAATTTGTTTTCACTTTCAAATCATAATCTTTTATACAGGAAATTGTTAAGATAGTCTATGTATGCACTGTTTCGTCGAAACTCAAAGATCACCTTACAAAAAAGCAACTCTTTTATGGAAAACAATGTCAGTCGTAAAACTACTTATCCGATCGACACTGCTGTTTTTTTTCCGATCACTTCATTAACATGATCTAATCTAATTTCAAGCAGACCACTTCTCTGTTATTCATGAGAAATGAATCATTACTTAAAAATTGATAATCAAGTGTTGTTGACAAAAAAAAGAAGTACATACGTGCAGAAGCTACATTATACGGATCTACATATCTTTTATCTGCAGAAGCTGAAAAAACCATAATTGGTTTCTATTAAAAGTTTAAACTTAAACATGTTTATATACTAGAAACTGCTTTTGTTTACTTTAATCCTTTAAATATTGTTCTACATGTACATGTAATAATAAGATCGATAGAGTACTTGCTCCTATTTCATTTTTGTATCCCTGATTTGTCACTTCTTAATCGGTTGACGAGATTTAAACCTCGGCAAACTACTGTCGATTTATCATTCTTATGGTTAAATACTCGACAAAAGTTATATTCATGCAATGTGTGCCTATAAGTACATTTAACTCATGAACAAGTGAATTCAGATGATCGATTTAATGGAAATGAAAATAAGGCACATTCAGAATATATAATTTTCTTTATTTAGAAAAAGGTTTGTTTAAACCTTTACTTCAAACCAGTGTCATCTATTTATGTCCTTAAAACCAATATTGCAACTTTCGTTTCTATCTATTTCTTTACTGCTATTTGCGAGAGGAACGCCATCTTCTTTTTTTTGTTGTATTCGGTAAAGGCCAACACATATACGAAAATATATTATCATACTTTTTATGTTCCCCATTTTCTATTCACAGTATAGTTAATTTTAGATAACTATGGTAAAAATTCAAGACGAGATATGTTTTTATAATGTTTTTGAATGATATTTTGAAAAGTAGCATTACTAGTTTAACGTATGATTGGGTTTTTAAATTGATATGGATTATTGTATGTCGATATCTAAATTTGACGAATTTGACGATGAAGTTGAAAAATAATCAAAATTGAGTGATTTTAATTTATTATAGTTTGTGAAAGCAAGGTAGAATATTGTTGAAAAAAGTAAATGATACCCATAAAAAAGAAAATATTGAACTGATTTTTGGAAATAATATGGTTAGTGAAATCAAAGATGTTTTTGTTATTCATTTCTTAATCTTTTTCTTTTTATTGTTGCATGGAAAGACAAACAGTCATTATCTTCTTTTTTCGAAACTGTTAATGTTCAACATCTGAAATTCTAAAACACTTGCATATCTGGTTTTCTTCTAAATTGACTTTGTACAAATGTTTAATTTTTAAACAGTACTTGTATACATCCACACTACTAAATAATTTTTTTTTTTCTGTTTTAAGATGTTAGAATATATCTGAATCTTCGGTCATGGAAATAAAAAAAACCCTCATAAATCATTTTACTTGCAATTGTGAAGGTACAAAGCTATTATATCCATCTAATAGTTAGTAAGAAAGTATGATATATAATAAAGTAAAGAACAAAAATTCAAAAATCTTTTTTAAATGGTATTAATGATGAAAAAGATCAAATATACTTGATTGTATCGAGAGAAAAAAATCCTTACCAAAAGTGTAAACTGCAACGAGGCACAAGAGAGAAAGATACAAGTGTTGTCCTTCCATTGTGGATTCAAATACCTTGTACAGTAACACAATATGAGTTGCTTATTTATACAAACGCATAATGTCAAAATTAAAACATTTAATTCCGTAAAGATGTTGTAATCAAAAGGTGTAATAATTTAACAACATCAACATTTCTAATAACCAACCAAGTGCAACATATTAATGTTGTAACTATGGAATTAAGCTGATTTAAAGCTCTGGATGTAATGGTGTATAATAATCGTGTGCCGTTAATCAAGGGCATGTTTCAATTTCATATGTTAAAAAAAAACCTTTTGAAAGAGGAACCTTTTGAATATATGTAGTTAACTCTTGTTTTAATTTTAGATAAGGAAAATTTAATGAACAAATCTAAATTTAATTGACAGTGTGGGAACATCGCATTTGCGCGCATTTTGATTAAGTTTAAAAAAAGTTGCGCACAATTTGTTTTACGTTTTCTCGTATTCATTTTACAGGTAATATTTATGAATAAAAAGAGAATTTATAATGAAGATTTGGAAATGTTTAATCTTGAGGTCATAAATCCTGAGTTGAAATTTCAGTTTCATCTATGTAGGTATCTGGGTTCTTGGTCATAAAACTTTACTCAGTACTCGGAGTACAAAATTTGTGCTCGAAACACTAAATCCAGGATTTCGATTGGTTGATTTCTGAGTCTGAGTACGAAAATCGTGCTCGAAAGTTTTATGACCGCAAGGCCTGGTTTTGAATACATTTGTGGTGTTATTTTTGGGTAATCGCTGGTAAACTAGCCAGTGTAATTGGACTATTTTGGCTCTAGCCTTTGTTAGTCTTGTATTATTTTTAATTTTAGTTTCTTGTGTACAATTTGGAGTTTAGTATGGCGTTCATTATCACTGAACTAGTATATATATTTGTTTAGGGGCCAGCTGAAGGACGCCTCCGGGTGCGGGAATTTCTCGCTGCATTGAAGACCTGTTGGTGACCTTCTGCTGTTGTCTGTTCTATGGTCGGGTTGTTGTCTCTTTGACACATTACCCATTTCCATTCTCAATTTTATTTTGGTGTTGATACTTGATAAATGTTCAGCGAATAGTTAAAAAATAATTTGTGACTACCAAGGTTCTCCTTCTCATACATAATTGTTCCTTGGCTTCTTTTGGCAGACTTGTATAGTGATTCAAACTATTCAAAATTTCTTATTTTAATTTTTAGATGCCATTTTGATCTTAACGCTATCTGAAATGTCTGAACAACCGGTACTTCTATTATGTAGAAGTGCTCAATAATTTCACTTTTAGTTTATTCAGTGCTGTCATTTTTCATACATCAGTATGATTTTAGTTTTCCATAGGTACTTAACAGCTTCTGTCCTTTTAAATAAAAGGTTGGCAAGTTTGTCCTTGACAATAAAAAGAAAAGGGTTAGAATCTGAAGAGAACTGAAAAAAAAGCCGTAAATATGCCTTAAAATTAACGTATAAAAAACCCTTTCAGTTGGCCAGAAGTACGTATAAAGCCGATTATATAAGCGTTTATAAGGTAAGTTTATTTAGTGAAAAGACCGCTATCATATTATTGCAACCATCAAACTTCAAAATCGTAGAGTAATGATTTTTGTGGTTCTTAAATTGATTAGAGGTTTAATATTTGTCAAATCGCCTTGCCGATAAATGTTTTATAACCTCGTATTAACTAAGATGCGAAAGCTAGGAGGTTATTGTTATAGACCATTCGTATAAATTATCTATCTTACACATTTCAAAAGTAAAATCACAAAAATACTGAACTCCGAGGAAAATTCAAAAAGGAAAGTCCCTAATCAAATGGCAAAATCAAAAGCTCAAACACTTCAAACGAATGGATAACAACTGTCATATTCCTGACTTGGTACAGGCATTTTCTTATGTAGAAAATGGTGGACTAAACATGGTTTTATAGTTAGCTAAACCTCTCATTTGCATGACAGTCGCATCGAGTTCCATTATATTGACAACGATGAGTGAACAAAACAAACAGACACAATAGGTTAAAATGTCAAAAATAGGGGAACAGCAGTCAACATTGTGTTATCATCTTAATCACTATAAAAACAAACAAATGTAACAAAACAATACTTTCTAAAATAGGTGATAGATCCCAAAAGGACATTTGTCATTTCGGGGCCTTTTACAGCTTGCTATGTGGTATGAATTACCTTTCGGTGAAGGCCGTACGGTGACTTATAGTTGTTAAGCTATAAAGGGCCCCAAAAATGACTAGTGTAAAACCATTCAAACGTGAAAACCAATGGTCTAATCTATATAAAAACGAGAAACGAGAAACACTTATGAACCACATCAACAAACGACAACTACTGAACATCAGTTTCCTGACTTAGGACAGGTGCAAACAATTGCAGCGGGTTTAAACGTTTTAATGGTACCGAACCTTCACCCGTATCTGAAACAATAGTGTAACATTGCAACATAGAAAAACACACTATAAAATATCAATTGAAATGGCTTAACTCAATAGACTATTATGGTATCAAGCAACCAGTAGGTAAGGTTCAGTCATTAGTTATTATTTATTAGTGTAGATGAACTAATGGGTATTGTCTACACATTGAACACTTATTTGTGACAGTGGTGTTAAGAGTATTAAACGCTTAGTAGACATGCACGCTCCGGCATTGGTCGTGATTTTTGTTTTTGATTTTGGACTGTAAGGGTATGTGTATCAAGAGACCAGTAATCAAGAGTAGGTTCCAGCATAACCCATCATTATTTTTGAAGCCAAAATAACAGTAACGATATTAATTTTACAAAAATAGATGTGCCTTTTTACAATTAATGTCTATATTCAGTGATTCTTAAAGGCAACATAATTTAAGACCAAAACCTATTACTAACTTTGAAGAGCTGATGAACCAAAAACCCCAAAACAAGTACAACCAAAAACCAATTGTAAGTCCCAAACCTATTACTAACTTTGAAGAGTTGATTCGCCAAAAACCAAAAAACAAGTAAAACAAAAAAACCACGCAAATTGTCAGTTCATGCATTTAATTCATTTAACAGTAGCTAAGATTGACGCTCATTCAAACAAAGTTCACCTTTATTTGTTTCGGATTGTTCTTTAGACTCCTTATCATTGCCAAAGTCCTAATGTTTACACATATGTTTTGGCTCAGATTAACAAGTTTGTAAAACAAAAGACATTTTCAATACATAGAGAAATTATGTAACTACGAGGTAACTACGAACATCCAAATGTGTTTGTGAAGATGCGGATTGGGATCGGAAAGTAACATAATTTTGTCCCATTTTTAACGAAGGAACAAAATGACATTTTATTTAAAAAACAATAAAAAAAATCTCTGAATGATCGTGTCATTAAAGAAAATATGTTCGTCTAGCTTAAGCATGTGTTATGTTTAAAAGCTTATTAAATGTATTGAAAAATCCGACAAAATAAAAAAAGATTTAAACAACACGTGCATCATGGTGTAATTCACATGTAGAACAAATGTTATCCTCTTAATATTCAATATTAACCATGTGTACAACGGTTTTACAAATGTGTTATTTGATTTCATTGTTGTTCATACTAAAAGGGGAAAATATTTGTGACGAACTTTTCTAGTGCGCTTAGTAAGCTTTTTATATTCAGAAGCCTGGCAGTATATACTCATGTAATAAAAGGAGTAAAACGTAAACTATCCATAAGCTTCTTCTGCTTTGATTTTTTTGATGTCATCATGTCTTCGGGAATCTTAGCTATGCTGAAATTAAAGTATCGGACTGTCATATATCCGATCATTTATATTTTTTTTGTTGATTTCGCCTTTTTAAAAATAATTCAGCCTGTTGCAATGTTAATGTGCGTTTAGGCGTAAATACGAATCGATGGAGAACAATTTAAAAGTACCGGAAATTAGTCTTCTACAAGATCGTACTAAAAATGGTTAAACTTAACATTTATTGTCCAACCAATTGCATAGCGACCACGCAGGAGTATTTAGGGAAGGCTATCGCGTTTGCATTGATTTTATGTGTTTTTGCTTGTGGTGACTTATGGACGAGAATAATACCTAATATCTAAGTCAAGCATGCCAAAATGGCGTATTCTACTGCAAGTACGACAACGGGTGCACATTTTTTTCGATGAGTTGCATTTTTACAAGACACACTTAACAGTTTAACATTCAGACTACATTGTTGTTATAGTTTTTGTAGTCTTATTTTTGTGAACACAGTCAATGTAAAGGTACGTAACAAGTATCAACAATTCGAACAATTTTTTTAAAACCGGAATGAAATTGATGCAACACATTGGCCTGTCGAATATTTGTTTTTCTTCAGTTATGACGGTCATTATTATGACGTGCAAATTCGTGAAAAAGAAACGTGCAAGATTTTTCTTTCATCTATTGTTCATCTTGAAATGGCTGAAATGTTTATTGTATTTCCGGTTCGTCCGTGCACATATCCCCTCTATGACAGGTTTAGGGGCACAAACAGGTTTCACTCCCACATCATGTCTTTGCTTGTCCCAAGGCAAGAGCCTGTAATACAGTGGTTGTCTTTGATTAATGTCTGTCATATTGGTTTTTTGTTAATTGACTGAGATATAGATAAGCCGTTGGTTTTCTCGTTTGAATTGTGTCGTTTTTTTTCATGTCGGGGCATTTTATGGCTTTCTTTACGGCATTGGTTGTGCTCTTTCTTGAAGGATGTGCGGTTTAAACTTGATTACATCTACGTCATTTGAACTATGAAGGAGAGTTGTCTCATTGGTAATCATACCACATCAACTTATCTTTATAAGAATATCCTGTTTATCGGGAGGATACTACATTTTACATTTAAGGCAAACGAGAATATTGCATGAACCAGTGTCAAATTCATAGTGCTACCGGGTTAGTGATACCATGAAAGAGGTTTACTTGACATTTTTAGTGGCACCAGCTAAGTGATAATAATACAGATTTTACAAGAAATCGAATCTCACTGTATCAACGCATGCACATTTAGAAATTGTACTTTCTTTCGTCTGAGCTAGACACAAAAACTAGGATACAACATTATCAAAAGTTATCGATAAAA